CATTCATCAGAGCCTCATTTTGGTTCCTGTAATGCCTTGCTTTATATTTATACAAGAGGGATTTTCTCATTCATTTACCCTCCTACCAGATTCAAACTGGCGACCTTCCAGTTACAGGCCTCCCTCTCTAACCTCCAGGCTACTGTGCTGCTGTCAAGTAAGCTGTGAGGAAGAGGAACACAACTGTTGCCATGAATGTATCTTCCCTTATAGTTTAATAATGCTTCAGTAGGCATTCTCAAAATATTTTTCCCTCTTGACCTGACAGACAGCTCTCATGGTGATACATCATACTGTATGTTTATGTGTTTTAAACTGTATGTAGATGAGAGAGAGTGAGATAGAATTAAATAGAGAGAGAGAGAGAGAGAGCTGTCCATGGTACTGAAATGAGAGCACAGCACGTGGCCTGGTGCGTTACTATGGCTACAGCTGTCTGTATCCCTAAAATAACCATACACACACATAGTAACCTTATTGCAAAAAAAAAAAAGGAAAAAGAAAAACGGCAATCTGTTGCAGCTCCTGACAACCCAGCAGTCAGATTGATGAAGATGGAAAAATATCTGTTTTGTCACCACTGCACTCCCAGAGGAAGTGTTTGGAAAAATCAACACTATAAAGCAACAAGTATTCTGCTTGTGCTTTTTTCTTCCCTGCACCATGTACAGAATCCAAAATGTAAAAAAAATTTTGTCTTTGTTTCCTTGTATTATATGGTGTTCTTTGTGTTTTGAGGCTGATTGTTGAGAAGTTGGCTCAGCTGTACGTAGGCTTGTCCTTTGTAAAGTGCTTTGAGACAGGGTTTGTGATGACTGACACACACATCAATTTGCACAGCGTGAAACAAAGATTCACTAGGCCACTTTGCATATTTGTGGCTCCAGTAACAATGAGCAGTGACTGAAGATGTTGATCCTCAAAACTCAGAAATGGGGAGACCGCACTATAACCAAGAGGTTCTAGGTTTGATAAGACTGCATTAAATCTAGACTCTTATTTGTAAATGTGTGCGGAGAAAGTGGATGAGTTTAAAATAAATTCTTGACCAAGTAGCTTTAATAATTTTAAGTGACACTGACTTAATGTTGTAATTAGGGACCGAGCCAGTGACCGCTGGAGGTCCCTATTGTTTTTGCTCGATTTCTTCTTCTTACCTATTATTTTTAGCCCCCTTTGACTGCATCTTTGCCCCCCGAACATATACGAAAACTAAATTTTATTTGGCAAAGTTGTCAGGCCTGGTGAAAATGGGGATATTCTATGCGTCACTTTCAGGTTGGCCACTAGGTGGCGCTACTATCATAAAAAATGCGTTTAGGCTAATAACTTCTGCATAGTTTGTCGCACATTCAAAAACCTTGTATCCACGCGTTCAGTGCATAGAGCTGAATCTCCCCGTAAGCCCCGCCCACTTCCGCCTAGAATTTTTTTTTTCTAGAGCACGAAATGTCTAGAAACCACTTTTCCGTGTTCCTCCCATGCGCTTTGTCTGATTCGCACAAAATTTTTCACGTAGCATGTGGGGACCGTCCTAATAAAAAAGTAATTCAAAGAATTTTGATATAAAAAAAATAAGCACGTTATAAAATTAACACTTCCTGTGGATTTTTCGTAAAAAAGGAAGTGGACCATTTCTCCACATTGGTACGTCCGATTGTCACCAAGCTTGGGTCCATAGTTACTCATGTCTTTCTTAGGCATCATGCACAATTTCAGGTCATCACCACTAGGTGGCGCTCTTTAAAATGAAGAAGTTTATATCTCTGCAACGGCACTTGTGCTTAAAATGAAACTTGGTACGATGATTGCCCATGGCTCCCTGAGGCTCACTTAAAAAGGACAAAAAAAATACGCCACTAGGTGGTGCTCTGGCGGCATGGTAAATCACTGTGCGGAGACTGTAATAGTTATGAATATGAAATTCACAGGGCACGTGTAGAGTGGTGCCTGAAGCTCACATACCAAAAATCGTGTTTGTCGTGTTTGTAGCGCCCCCTACAGGATGAAAAAACAGCAGCCCTGACGCCACATTTCACCGATATGTACGAAACTCAGTGGGCAGGTGTAACATGCCGGGACGTACAAAAAAGCCTCTTGGACCCATACCCGAAACCCCACAGGAAGTCGGCCATTTTGATTTTGATTTTCACTTTCGGCAAACTTTACGCGTTGTATTTGAACGAACTCCTCCTAGGGAATTTATCGGATATGCTTCAAAATTTGTGAGTACAGTCAAAAAATGGTGCTGATTAAAGTTGTGCTATTTGTGCATGTACGTTGAAGGGCATGTCCTTGGCGTGTCGTCAAAGTTGGCCATTTTGAATTCCGTGCGCATTTTTTGGTGAATTTTTCGCCTTGTATTTGAACGAACTCCTCCTAGGGAATTTATCGGATCTACTTCAAAATTGGTCAATACAGTCAAAAAATGGTGCTGATTAAAAGTTGTGCTATTTCTGCATGTACAATAAAGGGCATGTCCGCAATTTTGAGCTGATTTACGTGAGATTTTCATGTTGTGGTCTGTATGTGTTACGACGGCACGTGACGCGGCCGCAGCACGCCCCGAGTTGCGTGGAGTGCGAGGTCCCGCTCAACGCTGTTTGCAGCTTTAATTTTTATTTGTACTGTGAAAACAAAAATAGTAAAAAGTTTTTGTTAAAATAACTGATTGCATTACAGTGTAGGGTATTATGAGAAGACACAGTGGGGAACAAGAACTTGTGCTTTGCAAAGCATTGATAAAACAATAGTTATATGCGTTATCTCTTACTTGCAGAGAGTTACATGAGAAGATCAGTACCACTATCATATCTTTTCCGTTAGATATGTGGCTACAGACAGTAGACGGTTAGCTAAGCTTAGTACAAAGACTGGATACTGGAGGAAAGAGCTAGCCAGGCTTTGTCCAAAAGTAAAAATACAGCAACAGCACCTTTAAAGCTCATTAATTAACTGGTGATGGTTGGGGTCCTCTTATAGCCAGATTTTGTTACCTTAGCTGTTTGTCCCTGTTTCCAGTCTTCGTGCTAAACTAAACTAACCAGCTGTTGGCCGTTAGATGGTTTGTTACCCAGAACTATTTGGGAAGTCGTTGTTGGGAACTGTTTGGAAAAAGGCAGGCACTTTAAAAAAAAGACCTGGTGACTGGATGAACCACCTGTCTGTTACCGTCTATCACGGGAAAACTTCAATCAATCGGGTCAACGAACCATAAAACATAGTCAAACTCTTACCGAAGCCAGTAGATAGAAGAAAAAATACATCTTTTACATTGTGAGATGGCAACTGATAAATCTGTTCAGCCAAATGTGTAAACAATTTCATTAATTGTATGCTGTTATCTCAGTCATTTTATGGTGCAGGAACCATATCTTTTTATGTTCCTTTTATGAGAAGTTTGAAGTGCATAAATGTGAAGCAAGCTTTGACAGTGTGTCTGGCTGACTTTGCCTGGATAAATAAAAGAAATATGCACAGGAAAAGATGTGAAAGTACACCTGAATCAATACAGCTGAATCATCCAAGAGGCTCTAGATTCACCCAGTTTTGCGTTTGGTCTCTGGTGGGAAGTATTTACCCAGAGTAAACTGCACCCACTGCCTATAGAAGTAGCTTTTCACCTCCTCCAGCCCTGAAATGTGGAGTTTTAGTGACTGACATCACAATACATCATTTCTGGTACACACACTCCTACTAACCATCAAAATTCTGCTGTTATATCTCAACCTGAAATTGCCTTGTGCTGTCTTAAATGACCAAATGTCCAATCAAGATGCTTAACCCTGAGATATAATCATTTGCATTTCTCTTAATTTTCAAAATAAATGTCTTCCAGACACATGGACCAATGGTGCAGGCTTCATTCGAGTGTCCACAGCACTCAGCGAGTCTTCCTCCATCCACAGCGACGCCTTATACCATCTGACCAAAGAGATGTCTGGAATTGGACTGGAGCCCATGTCCTACAGCATCCTGGAGCCTGAACCTTATAAAGAAGAACCATGGGTTGAGGAATCACAGACTTTGTTACAGGTAATTACAGGACCAGATAAAGTGTGCTGTTAAAAACTTCACACTCAGAGCAACTTGTAAAATTATCATGTAACATTTCCTGTGTGGGTCATGTATTTCAAAGCGTTGCATCATTTTATGAGTTAGCATAAAATTGAAAAAACTCATTAAAATGACTTTAGTTTTTAGAATCTGTGATGATGACAGAGGGAGCTGTTCTCTAAATTTTGGTTTAATCTTGTATTTCAAAATAAGAGTTAGAACTGAGATATTTTGGTGAATTAAACTGACTTCCATCTGACTTTGAGTGAAAGGTATGAGCGCATGAGCTCAAGGCTAACATTAGTTTAGGGAAAATACTTAAAAAGTCGAGGCTTAAGACTGATATTAGAAACAGGTTAATGGTAAAGCCTGGGGTGAGTGGTGCCTCATGGGGCATCAGTGTGTGTGAGGTGTGTGTGAAGTCTGTTGTGCAGGCTGTTTGAATGATTTATTCTTAAATGCACAGAAATATAATGAAAAATAATGCTTCAAATACATTACATTTTTTTCCTTCTGGGTGTAGCTGTTAGGAAAACACATCTCTCTCCCAGTAAGTCAGTGTAGGGCTGGTCCCTCTCTCCACACTACAAAAAATATCCATCTTAACCTCTCATTTTTCGAAAAAAGAGCAGGAGATAGAAAAACAAACTCCCAAGAAAGGTTAAGTAGTTCCAGGTTTTACTGCAAATCAGGAGATTTTTAATTTTTTAAATTTTTAAATTTTTACTGAAATTTAATTCTAAGAGCAATTCAAAAACACAGAAAATAATTTACATTTTCATCAATTTGGCAAAAATGTTTAGATTTTCTTTACTTAAAACGACATTTTTAGAGTGGGCATCGAGCCTAAATAACATATTGAAGACGGACATTTTTTACAGTGTGGCACGCTCTGTGCCAAAAAGCGCCGGCGGTGCGCAGGCAGCCTCCAGATCGCAGAGTTGGATAGATGGGTATCACCGGCATGTGATCAGGCTGCAGACTCTCTATGCGCAGCCTCTTATACCTGACAGACCCTCCTGAAACAGAACAATGTGATCTGGCGCAGATGAGCCGTCGCTCCTGTGGACTAACTGGAGTGAACTCGCTTATCATTTAGGAGATGATGGGGATGAAGGTGATGATGAAGAGTCCGGCTGTTTTTATCTGCGAACACCGCCAACTTTCACTCCCTCTCTTCTTCTTTTTCTTTTTCTACTTCTCCGTGTGTCTTTAAAGCGCAACAGCATGCAGATCTCCCCGAGTGAAGTCAAGATCCCAGTAAGTACATCCGTATCCATCCGCAGCCACTCTGTTGCTTTGAGTTCAGTTCACTACACCTGAGAGCGATCTGTGTGTGCGTGTTGTTTACGACCCACTGTAACAGTTGTTACACTCACCTAGGAGGCAGGCGATTCTGTAACTGCTGCTGCTGTATAGGAGAGCATCTGACCCACTATACAGGCAGCATAACGCACAACAACATAAGTGATGTGTTTATTATTAATTTGTCACTGTTCACCATGTTGAAATGTTTAATGGTATCAGGAAACAGTTGTTCTGTATAGAATGTATAATCTTTTGGGAACCTTCAGGGAACGTCCCCCAGAGGTTTTATTAACACCAGCATGTGGGAATATTCTTGGAAGCAGCCAAGCTAAACCAAGAGGGTATCTTCCTAGTACCTTGTTTTATTTGGTGTCAGCAAACAGAAAGCCTTAGGGAAAGTGTGAAGAGTTTGAGGGTTGCAACCGGTGTGTGTGCCGTATGTATGTGTCACCAGGTGAAAGCCTCCAATGGATATCATTATTGGACAGTAGACTGCTGCTATGTTTCCAAGCGGCATGCACAATGAATGTAGTTTTTTATAATAGGTAGTTAGAAATGTAAATATTCAAAATCTCATTATGATGGATTATTTTCAGTTCTACCTCTTTAAATAGGACAGAAATTATTATAATTCTGGACATTTCTGAAGGCTTTATAGGGTTTGAATTCCACACTGAGAACTGACCTTTTTCACAGCAGCTATTTCAACATGAAATAGTAGGATAAACACAGATATAACCAGTGATATTAACTAAGGTTCCGTTCCATTCAGGCCGTTGTGCACTTAGGCTCATTGGAAAGTCTCTGCTACACTAAATGGAATGGAACCGTAATTAGTATCATTGCCTGTGTTACCATACTGTTTTATGTCAAAATGGCTGCTGTGAAAAAGGTGTATTAAGGAATTCGAAAAAAATGGCAGAAAGTAAACATAATGCACAATATAGCAACAATGGCGTGATGATCGTGGATGAAGCCCATGTAAAAAAAAGTGATGAAGGTGTAAATTGTGCCACCCAACAGGAAGTTGTTGGTTTAGCATGTGGCCATATATTAATGTTGACTGACAGCTAAAGCCAGTGAGTGAGTCCATTAAGCTACATTTTCTGATGTTTCTGACCAGGTCCTTCGTCATAAAGAGGAAGGTGACTTCAGAATTGAAAAGTTAAAGGACCAATGTGTAGGATTCTGTGTAGCTACACTGCCCGCTCCGCACCAAACAGCAGAGTGACACAGTTAGCGACTAGCTAAGCATTTAGCAGCTAAAGAGTCCAAACACAGAGCTAAAAGAGAGTGTTTTTTTATATAATAATAATAATAATATTGGACTTATGTTCCCCAGGTGGCCAAAACATGACTCCGAAGGAATGCTAATGTTGCCCTGTAACTGCGGCTAAGGTGATATGTAAATGCTGTGTTCGCAACTTGCTTCTGCCGCCCCCCAAAAACTCTGCTTTAAAGCATTTTGTGATGAATGTAGAAGACTTGTTTCCTACACATGTAAAAAATAATTCCGAGGCACAGATAAAGTCACCTCCACTAGCATTTGTTCTTTTTAGAAAGACGTAACCAATGGCAGAGCTATAGCGACAGCAGCTTCAGACCAAAATACCACAAATGAAGCTAATATGGTCTATTGCATGGGAAACTTGAGCTTGACTGTACATTTGTTCCATGTATACATATTAATACATCAAATGTATATAACTGACATTGTATTTTTTATTGTTTAAACAAGATAAAAACACAATGACTTAGCTATGACTGAAGATATAGCGTAAGGTAGTTAGCTTGGCTGTATTGCAATAGGTTCTTCCTGCACTTGTGTAATTCCATTATTAGCGTACTGTCCTGGTTAAATGTTGCACTGTAAAGAGAAGTCAGACCAAGGCACAGAAGACGATTCATCTGGTTTTAAGAAAGACATTCATGAAGCTGTAGTCACAGTAACACAGACACATATTTGTGTTATTGATAGTCAATTTATTAGTCTAATTCCAACAAATAAATTAAGTCAGTAATTGTGTGTTACAACACACATACACAGACAGTATGTGAATAGAGAAATGAACAGATACAGCATAGAGCCCCATATTTCAGAAATATGTCCTGCTGATAAGTAACAAAACCTGCTCTCAGGAAGTTAAATAAATATCCCATCATGCCCCGAGCCTATAGAGCGTTCCCTCTTGCGCCCTCCATGTTTAGTCTCCCTCTCTACTTTCCCTCTGTCTAAATAAAGAATAAAACTGCCAAAGGTGAGCTGACTGCCCACTCTGCTGCTGAAGGTTCTCACTTCAGTGGTTTTGAGAACCTGCCAAAAGCCACTTCTGTTTGCGTGTGATGACAGTGCAGTAGATGTTTAGGTTCATTCAAACGGTTATTACATAACTCCACTGCTGCTTAAGGGTTCTGTCTATGCTGTCTTTAAAAATGTGTGTTTGTTAAATTGATTGTGATACCATGGAGATGGCTGTTTTTTTTCTATCTCACAGCAGTTCCAATGGTCATCACTATTGTTCTCCTGCTTTTACAGAGTAGTTACTGTATATTTTACATTCCCTTTTGATTTCTCTTGGCTCCCTACAGGTCGTGGGTCCAACCCCAAGCCCTCAGAGCATCGGAGAAGGCCTTTGCTTTTCTGATGGCCGACGGAAAGTTGACTACGTTTTGGTCTTTCAGCGGCGGCGGCACAGCTCCATACGATCTCATGCCAGCACCTCAGTTTCACATGACAGGTTATCCATTGTTTCCAATGGCAACTTTCCCCCGTCGGTGGGCTCAGATGCGGCGGCAGGAAGAGGAGGCGCCATACTGGGAGGAGAGGCTAGTGTCGGCGAGGTGTTCATGGAGCTTGGAGGTGCGGGAGGGAACGAGCCAACGGATCCTGCTGACAATGAGATGCGTCTAATCAGACAGGAATTTGAAGCCAACCTGCTGGAGGCCGGCCTGGAGATAGAGAGAGACAGAGAGGTGAGTGTGCATCTTTGGCCTTACTAATGTCTATGTTCTCCTCTTCCTCTCTTCTCCATGTTGACACCTAAAATAGTGTTATAGCTTTTACTTTCTAATATTATATTAATATGTGGTAATGCAGTTTTGAGTGATGATTTTGTGGAAAACTCTTGACCAGCAGCCTTTTAATACAAGAAACATGCTTATTCAAAATTTCACAATCACAATCACTTCGTATTTTCTCATTGTGTGTCTTTCAGATGATTCATCAGATTGCCATCTGATGAATGTAAAGTTGACTTTTCCTTTTAGCTGTTTTTGGTCTCCACCAACTCCTGATGGAAATATCAGGATCTTTAGCTGCTAAATGCTCTTCGATGTTCACTAGCCAGTCCCTAACTTTGTCTGCCTGCTGTTTAGAGCTGGGCTGGTAGCGTACAGTAGGTTTATCAGAGCTTTTTTTTTACTGGAAACAGTTATGTCTTGCTGCTGGAATCAATGCTAATGAGAGCAGTGAGAGTGAACCAGAAAGGTAATGGTCAAACACTGGCGTGTTTCTGTGCTGCTCTGTTGGTACACGAAGATGTTGAAGGGTTTGATATTTGGAAAACGCATTGTCCTTTTAATAAGATGAGTAATTATGGTAAATCAGGATTATAATTTCAGACATTAACCAGCAGCCTGTGGTTTGATACACAGACTAAATGCTTTTGTTTTTACAGGACTTTTTAAGATAAATCTCGACACAGGATCTGATGTAACTCTGTCTTGAGCTATTTAAGGTGAGCGCCTACATAGGAACCTGGCTCAGATGGTAGAGGAAAGAGGTGGGTGAGACTCGAGGTGTTGTGAAGGATATAAGGTGGCTATTATACCAACAAGAGAGTGTCATGGGGAGGTTTCTATAAAACTTTGAAATGTACATTTTATGTCCCTTTTTAAGTTTTATATGCCACGTTGTTCTGCCTCCATCACCCTGCTGCTGTTAGACAAAAAAACACTACATAAAGAAGTGCTGAGGAGTCATTATTGTAAATCTGTTGATCAGTATGTGTCAGATTAGCCAAAGGCACGCTAACACTGGGACTGTAAACGCTGTAAGTCATTAGACTCAGATACACAGACAGGTGAGCTTACTGAGTTAATGTGTACAGAATATTGCCCTGAAAGATAAGTGTATCTTTTTTTTCTCATGATCATTCTTCTAAGTTTTTTCATTGTTCATTTCATCTGGGCAAACAGGTGAAATCATTTTTTCACATAAGCATTTTTTGACAGTTCGTTTTTTTGATCCGTGAAAACAGGTGATTTTTTTTTTTTTTTGTGCACATAAATATGAGATAATTCTTTTCCTGTGGCCTTCAACAATATCATCAAGGTCTGTTTTCCGGGTCAGTTTGTTCACAGTGGACTAGCTCGATTTTACACTCAAAATTCAGTCATCAAATTGTCATAAAATTGTCATTGTATAAACACTGTCAACAGGCAGTAATCTGCACCTTGCTGCACCACGCTATGTTTATTTTGTTTTTTTATTAGAATAAATCTGTTTTTTTTTTGCTTCTTTTAGCAGAGTCAGTCCATATTACATGGTGAGCATCCTACAGGAAACCTAAAGGTGGCTTATGATGGTTCATGTCTTAAAGGAAAAGACATGTTTAAGCTCACCAAAAGATAGACCGACACATGACAGGATTCTTTTAAAAAACATCAAATCTCTATATAAAACAGACCTCAGAATCATTCAATCAAAAACATATTTTACAAAAGTCTTGATAGAAAATGATTTACAAAGTGGTATTTAAAGAAGTTCTGTGTCAGAACATCTCGTATCCAGGGCAACACACAAATGCATAACTTGGTACGAGCTGCACCAAACCTGCAAACCTGAGCCATGGAAAAAAAAATCAAGTCTGATGAGTCATTCTTCTTGCGAGAAGACAAATGAAGCCTTAAACCAATGATATTTACTGCCAATAATGTATATGTGCATTGATCTTATGGAAACAGTAAAGACTGATGACTGTTCTGCGTGGTCAGTGTGTTTCAAACATGTAATTTTGCCATTTTTTAGGCCCAGATTAGACCAATTCTGAGCCTATGAACTGAACTCAAAAAATAATTTTAATGACTTCCTCTCATCCGATGGAAATACAGTGAGGTCTCAGTTCTGAGCTCTGTTCATGTTCTTTTGAAAATTCACATTCAGCGTTGATTCTCTGACCTCTTTTATAGACGACCTGCACTGCTAAGTGGCAGTTTACTGAATATAACTGTTTTCTAACCATGAGTCAGTTACTTACACTCTAAACCCATCTCTCATGTGATGCCTCTGTTACTTTCTGTCTACCGCCCATATATATGACTGGGACTCTGTTTATTTTGGAGTCCACACAAGGGCCTGATGGTTTCATGTGAGCTGGCAGACTAATTCTGGTCGCTGCAGCCAACACAGCTGCTGTGCTGACCCCTTTGTATCGATTTACTAATTCAGCCTGAAACGGGTAATTTTGTTTTGACATGTACAAATCGCTTTCGCTGTGATTGTGTGTTACGTAGCAACCAGTATTTGTGTGTGAGAGTGTGTAGTTCAGTCCTGCTATTGGTCTGCGTATGTGTGTGTGTGTGTGTGTGTGTGTGTGTGTGTGTGTGTGTGTGTGTGTGTGTGTGTGTGTGTGTGTACGTGTAGTAGGCGCTTGGCAGAACACACAGTCTGTGTGCTCTGTGTTCTTGTAGTGGGGCTGCAGGCTCACTGCCACAGAGTTGTACAAATGTAGTTATTGTTAAAGTTCCACTCATTACCAAATGAACTGCTGCTGCTCTTTGGCTCTGACGCTAAGAGAGGAATCATTTGGGAAAATTAAGTGTTGCTCGCTTCAGCTGTTGGAATCTCCAAGGAACAGTCTTGCAATTTGTGAATTGTTACATCATAGCAGTGATATGGTTACCAATACGCTCTTACAGTATTACAGTGGAGTATAATGTTCAGGGAAGAGTTTTGTTAAATTCGGGATAGAGAATTCTTAGTATGTGTGTGATACCCATTTCGCTATACATGTGACTGTGGACATGTGTGTGTGTTGGCTGGCAGCCAGTTGGCAGTGTGTGAGGTCTGCAGGCTAGTATTAATCAGATTGTTGACAGTGCGGCCACAGAGCCTAAGCCAGGATGAGATTAGCTGACTGACTGATAGCTCCTTATCTCACTGATTGGGGGGGCTTGCATTACTATATTCCTCATTTGAATGTAACGACAGGTACTCTAACACTGCTTCCATCAGGGTGTAGCTTGATGTGGTTGTGGGAGGCAAAGAGGGGGGGTGTTGTCTGATAATAACCGCAGGTTTGCCACTCACTTAATCACTCATATAGATCAGAAAATTGAAAATGTGCAGATAATACAATAATGCAGCAAATGAATTGAGTTCATGCAGTACCAGCAACATAATGTATCTGTACCAGGATGATGCAAACAGATTCTCTAATTTGAAATAAATGAACTTAACTCATCACAGAGACAGAGAATTAACTGTTGACCTGTTGGTTTCAAGGATCATTGAATGTGTGCCAATAGGTTTTAATGCATTTTGCAATATTTTCTGATGGATTATGGTTAATCTGTTTGTGGTCCTGGTATTGAGTTATTAACCTCAAATTTCACTTTACAAGCAAATCTGCTATTTAGCATTTTCAATATTCAGCATATTTGAAGAAGTCCTCTATTTGGCTTTGTTTTTTACAGCAGGTTGAAAACGTGGCACTGAATAAATGAACGAACGAATGACTGAACCAACCAACCGTTCAACAAAGAAACAGTTAATGTTTCACAAAGCATATTTAGTTACGGCAATACGGTTCTGTTAGACTGTACTGTATTGTTACAAGCAAGATTGGGAGGGTTAATTTAAAAATGTAATCTGATACAATTATTAATTACTTGTTAAAAAAACATGCAGTAACCTAATCCAAGTACTGCAATATTAAAGTAACATAATTTAATAATTTTCAGTTACTTTTGGATTACCTCTACACCAAATATGCAACTAAAACCAAGAGAAAAGACATAACAATACGTTTATTCTATAATACAACAGAACAATGTAACTTCAGAAAAGAAAATGGAAATCAAGAAAAAATGTACTTTAAAACTGTAATCCTTCTAATAATTCCCCTTTTTAATAATGTAACTGTAATCTTCTGTAGTCTTTTTTTAGGTAACTGTAATGGATTAAAATATCCTTATTACGTAACTCAGTAACATGTAATCTGTTACTCCCCAAGCCTAGTTACAAGACTGATTTTAGCCACACCTCCCTCGGATGGATGTGACTTATTGGCCAAGTACAAAAAATGATAGAGTCAGTGCTCACTGTTTAAGCATTGCTCAGTGTAGCAGTACCCCTGTAGTAAGTCATTCTTTTATAGCAACCTGTTTGACTTCACATTAATTGGTTGGTAGAAAAAAAGAGCGGCTTAAATGTCAAACTTGTTGACTGTGTCTGAGGATTATTGAGCTGACCTTTGATCTCTTAGGGACATCCTCTTACAGAACACTTTTAATTAAATCAGAGCAAGATGTTAATTTAAGAAGTGGAGCCGGGACTTCTGAAGAGTTCAGTCATTGGGGGCTTGGTGAAACAGAATGAGCAGGATTAACTGTTTGGTAAGACTTCCCATCGGCAGAGAGTGATTCTCTCCAACACAAATTGCTTAACAGACGGAAGGAGAGCACACTCCTCTGTACTACACCTGCCTGCTCAAGTCCTGCTGCAACACTGTGTTGTAGAGAAATGTCAATTAAAGGCAACAAATATCATATCAAGAACACTTAAGATTACTGGAGGGAAAGGTGTGTCCGGCAATTACTGCAGCGGTTTTTTAAGGTGAATGTCACAAAATAGTGAAAACACATCCACAACCCACAACACTGATCTCTTAAACAAGAATAAAAGGATTCTAAATGTCATGTTAGCATCGTGAAACTCAGGGGAAGATAAGGCAAACTTTATTTCTGATTGT